TATCCACCTTTGGGTGAAGCGTATGCATGTGCGAGAGATACCCCTATGCGCCATAGAGCTGTGGTCGTATCAGGTCGTGGTGACATTGACTCATCTTTAGGGGAGGACTTGAAATCCACAAACTGGGATTGCGATCCCTTGGCTCATGGGTCGAACTTTGGTGACCCGCTAATGAGCCCCTACTTGGACTGTAGGTCATGGGAAACAATGTGTCGATCTGATAAAGCAAGTGTGGTCTGTAGTCCACAGTTGAAGGTGGAGTACCCCACGATTGTTGATTCCTAAATCATATGGATCATTTTCCCATCAAATTAATTTAATTGTGTTTGTTTTATAATGAAAACTATTTTAATATTATTATTTGAAGTTTTATGAACCCCTGAATATTTTATTTATAAAATTAAAGATATTGATTTACAATTGTTTAAATATTCAAATAATATTCTAAACTCCTTTTATTAATTTTAAATATATAAAAATATCATGGGGACCCATTGTGCATATAGGCCCGCCATATTTTTAGAAAGTAGGGCCCATGAGTGCTTCCCTTAGGTGGCACGCCCAACCCTTATTCTCTGTCCTAGTTTTTGGTGATATGGCATGTGGTCTTATGATTGGAAGATATTGACTTGATATATCTTTGAAAGATTTTATAAAAAAATTGAGTAGACTTGTGCTATTTTATGGTATGCACAATATTTTGATTAGATTTAATTTATTTAATTTCTATTGATGAGAAAATGGTTTAGGAAAGAAGGATAATGACTCATGTGCCTTCCATAATATGTTGATGGCCCCATCTATGGAATGGATGGCTCAGATCTCTCACCCCACAAGTCACCCTTGATCGACGGTCTATGTTCAATCTCACAAGAAGAGACAAGCTAAGGAAAACCCTAAAAAACCCTAATCTTATTTAAAGTCAATAAAAAGATATTGTCTCTACCCAAAATCTCTACATCTTATCTTTCTATTTCTCCCTCTTAAGAAAGTTTCTCTCTCTCATGTTTGATCTCTCTCTCTCCCAAATTGTGAAAGAACCTAAAGGTTTAGGTTATGAAGTTCTTCTCTCTCCTATCTCTCAAATATGGATTTATGGCTAAGGGTTTTAAGGTTTTAGCAAAAAGATAATTCATCTCTCTCAAACTAGGTTGCTAAAAAAATTCAACTAGGGTTTGATTTTGTGATCAAAGGGGTTCATGCTCTATTAGTGTGTCTTGGCCAAAATTTACTTTTCCGATTCGAGATTGAAGCTAGATCGTTGATCCCGCGTCATCGGATGGTGGTTACTCGGTGTGGGGTGTAATAAGCCCGCTTGAGGTAATCTTCAGCACTCTTCCTTTTGTTTCTTGCAATCTTATCTTTTATTCTCAAGCATAGTGCATAGTTGTTTCAATGACATCAAGTTATTAAGGTCTTGGTTTTATTGTTATGTTGCTTTTATTTTGAAATTTATCTTATTATAATAGAGACCACATGTAAGTAATCTTTTGCCAAAAGAAAAGGATGAAGAAAAAAAATATACATGTATTCCCCAGTAAAAGATCTCATAGGTCTTTCTTTCAACATCAAGCGGAAATCTCAAGAGTCAAGATACGAAAGGGGATCAATGTGTCTTCTTCTCGTAAAGAGGGGGTATTCGTTCCATCCCAAAATCAATTATAATATTTTTAAAGAAAAGTATGCAGTGAGACGATGTACGTTTGGTACGAGGCAATCACAGTTAATTTTGACCATTGAATGTGAAGGTGGATATCAATATTTATTGTATTAACCAAACTCAAAGTTAAAAAAAATTTCTTAAACTTGGTGACATACCCAAGCTATCAAATTTTATATCAGATAATTGTAAGTAATTGTGACCTCCTTATACTAAAGGTAAATGGTCTCATTGTACGCAATCCCTATTTTTAACTAGGGTTTTACTTAAGGGAACAAATATTATTTTGCTAGAATGGGGGCAAATAATATTGTCAATTCTTTAAAGGCAAGGCTTTATATAAGGTTGCAATTTTATCCCATTGAATTAAGGTGCATCAAATCTCTAGAGGAGAGTGCTCCGACTTCGGAGAGCTCTTCAGTTGACCATCTCAACCTCAAGACGTGTGTCATGAAGAAAAAAAGAACTTGAAATCCGAAAAATGATGCATCTTGTAATAAGTTATGTGGACCATCTATTTTTAAGATTTTTAAATATTTATTAAATTACTCGATCTGAACTATTTTTTAAGTTTAAAATTTCATAACTAAGGATAAAATTTCATAACTATTTTTTAAATTTAAAATTAAGTGCTTATACAAACCTCACTCCTTTTTAAATATGGAAAAGTTTATATAAAGCCGAGGCTCTAAACAATCAAATTAGATTCCATCCCAAAAACTTTCACCAGAAGAGGTTGTTTTGATGCCCAAATATCCTTAAATTGATTATCTCAACATCAGGATACATGATCATGAGAAAAAACATAGATTTTAAGTTTTGAAAATAGTGCATTTTGTAACCATTTTTTGACCGTCAATTTTCAAGATTTTTAAGTTTTCATAGATGTGCACTATTTTTTTGGGTGGCACGAGAGCTCCACCAATTTCCAAAATGGCACTCATTTAGGAAGGAAGGCACACAATTGTTGTGAACACATGCTCCGGTGACATCTCTTATACTGGGATTTTTTATCTTCCATACATGTTTTTCATTGTCTTGGATTTTTTCATAATCATGTAATAGAGGAAAATTTGAGGCATAATTTGAACTCTGAGGATCAAAAGTCAAGCATTCTGGAATGTGATTTTTTCTTTCAGAATCATCATTCTGATTATCTCATCTTGTAGGGATAATTTCTGAAATTTCTGACACAGTGGTTTTAGGTTTCTGACTACCATAAGTCACATAATAATCCCATTTTCCTGAACTCTCACCAATAATCAAACAGTTGGATCACCTTCAATGTATTTCTGATGAAGTTTTTGTTGTGATGAAATCTTCTTTTTATTTTTCTTTTTTGGTATTTCATCAAAATCATCTTGAAGACAAGTAGAACAATTGCAAGTATCAAACCAATTATGACCATCAGAAGTTTTCTGTTCGTAAATTGGTTTCTCTGTTTTGTCAAATTCCGCAACATAACATTTTCAAGCAAACCTTGAAATTGGATAGGGAATATTTCTCTGGTTTGATTTTCAATAGCTCTAAGAGTTTGAAAACTTATTTGAACTATTCCATCAGGTATTCTTGTCATCCTGGAAGCCTTTACATTAATAAAAGCCAAGTTTATATGCTCTAACAGGGGCATCTATTATATTCACTCTAAATGATCATCTCAACATCGAGATGTACTAATATAAAATAAAAAAAATATTTTGATTCTCAAAAATAGTGAATCTTGCAACACATTATCAAGACCATCTATTTTCAAAATATTCATTTATTTATAGATCTACTTGATTTGTACCATTTTTTAAATTTAAGAAGAGGGTCCTATAGGATCATTTATCACATATTTATATATCGAAAAATTGTTTCATCTGGCTGGACCGCATTTTTACATATGCATTCCATAAAGTGTAAAGCATCGATCTTAAAAATGGATGCAAGTATGTGTTTCATCTAAAAACAATGAAAACTAACGATCCAAATATTTTCTTACTAGAATTATTATTTGTAGTTTTTTAAATTTATTTATTTATTCATATTCATTATCTCCATGTTAGGGATTACATATCTTTAAAAATTAAGTCTTAAAATCCATCTCAAATATAGATTTATTAAGAGGGGCCTGCATTTCTATATCTGCATACTAACCGCATTGTAACCAGATTCATAAATATATATATATATATATATATATATATATAAACGAAGTAGTGGTGGCTA